AAAAAAATTTAAATAAAAAAAATATAGAAACTGCTAGCCCAGTCCCACCTGAATATAGCTGTATATTAAAACAAAGATGACCCAGTAGGCTCGATTCCAGGAAAAGCTCAGAATGCTATTTGTTAGACAAACCGTGTGAAATTGCCATTATTATAGGTCAAAACTGGTCGAGTATTGACAGTTTCATGTGGCTCAACCTAATATCCTATGACCAGATTAGAAAAGAAAACCACATTGTCCTGCTAATACACCCTAAAGCATCATGTGGTGAGTTCAATACCCATTCATTGCTTCCTAGAATAGCTCATACAATTATGAATAGAACCTTCTTTTTTTCTTGTAGAGAAATTTTTGCTATAGGGCACATGCACTCACTGGAGAAATAGAGAGACAGAAGGCAAGAAATCATCCCCTGGGAGGTGAGGTGGGGAGAGATGGCCACGTCACAATCCCTTCTCCTCCATTCTCCTCTCGGAATTTTGGGCATGCATACACACACACCTGGCATGAGTTTTAAGTCACCAGTTTTAAGTCACCAGGATGTGAATTGTGGTCGACTAGGTGGGTATCCAGTGACATAAACATTATGCCATCTGCTGATCCCATAAACAGAACCTTCTTAATATGATCCAACATTTTTACCAAATACCTATAGCTAAATTCTCTCATACATATACCCAGTAAAGCAGGAATAAGACCGGTCGTTAGTTGTATTACCATCAACAGTATTCAGCATTGTACTGAAAACATAAGCCATTACAATTATACCCAAAAGAACAAAATTATAAAAATTAGAAAGGAAGGACCAGCAGATGGCATAATGTTTACACTGCTGGACTCGCACGTAGTCAGCCACGTGTGTGTGCGTGCCCAAGATCCCGAGGGAAGAATGGAGGAGAAGGGAGAAGGCGAGGCCATCCCCCTGGGAGGTGATTTCTTGCTTTCTGCTTCTCCGTCTCTCTCTGTCTTTCTGGCCAGTGCACGTGGCCTATAGCAAAAATCTCTCCAAAAATTAAAAAAAAAAAACAACTAGGGATATAAAAACAATAGTCTCTTTTATTTAGAAAACACCAAAGAATTAACTACCAGAACCAGTAAGACAACACAGCAAATCTATTGTGTCTCTACAATTAAAACATGTAGAAGGAAAGCAAATCTCATTCCTAATACAAACAAAAATTATAATACACATAGAAATAAGACCCCCAGCATGTGTAGAATCTTTACTGAAAATGTATATAATTTTATTTTGAAGGTGATATCAGTAAAATAAATGCAGGGAGAGTTCATGCTTATGGATGAACAGAGACAATCACAGAAAAGTAGAACTGTTGATAAACATAAAAAAAAAAGTCTCAGCATCGGTAGTAATCAGTGAGATATAAATTAAAGTGAGATGCCATTTTCCACCCATTACATTGGGGAAAAATTGTAATGCCTGAAAAACCAAGTGTAGGCAAGATAGAACGTATTGAACACTGGCATGCATTGCTAGGGAGTGAATAAACAGGTTTTCCTCTTCATAGAACAATCTGGTAACACCCAGCAAAGTTGAAAGCTGTGTCTTCCCTGCAACCCGCTTTTCTGTTCGAGGGAGCCTGAAGCACAGACGTGTCAGCCGACGTGCCGACGTGCAGGAATGTCCGTGGACGATGTGCACGCATTTGTAACTGTGCGTCAAAGCTCCCCACTTAGCGTAATCGTTCTGAAAGCAGCCATCATGCTGGCCTGCAATATTGAATCTGGTGGATGTGCATAGATCCTCCTGGATTTCCCAGGGAGACATTCTCACTTCCTGCTTACAATAATGAACTAGAATATCAAGCAATATTCTGTCAGGAAATGAATGATCCAAAGGCCCAATTCCCATTAGCGATCAAAATATAAACACGCCCAGCAATAAGTACAGAATGTCGAGGACAGAAAAGGCAAAATGGCACAGGGAGGCGCCTCCACGTGCTGTAGGGAGCCCCAACACCACACAGGCACTCGCTTCTCAAGGTAGTTCGCACGTTTAATGTCGCTCACAAGGACACACGGTTTTTGCTTTTTTCATGTGGGGAAGTTCTTCTCAATTCCTCATCTGGAAGAGTAAATATAGGCGAGTTGTTTTTTGTTTGTTGGTTTTGTTTTTTAAGTTAAAAGAAGACAAATGCGGACTTCTCTACTAAGTATTTAAGTATATTAGAAAGCTACAGTAACTAAAACAGCGTGAGTCGTGCACAGGATAAAACAAGTGGGTAAAAGCAATAGAAAAGAAAGCAGACTTAATACGTACAGCATGCCTGCTCTCCGTGGCGGAACCGGGAAGACTGGAAGGTACACAATGTGGAGAGCAGCTCTGGGTACAGGAGCCAGGGTGGGAGGGCCGAAACGTTTAACAGACACAAAACGGAGAGATGATCTGTTAGTGCTAAGGTGTAGGAACTGTGTTTGGCTGGACTAATATGTAGTGTATACTGGATACGTTCATTTTGTATGCTGTAAAAATGTACAGTGATTAAATATAAAAACATAAGAAAAAATTAAGTTAAAATATATTTAAGATTTTTAAATGTAAAAAAAGAATAGAAAGCTGAAAAACAAAACCAAATTTGTACATTTATCTCTGAATTATATCTGTGATAAAGATAGTTTTGAAATGGGTGGTGAGAGGATTATTTAAACAGGTTGGGTTACATGGCTGACCAACGGGGGGAAGGGTCGTGATTGTCTATCGTGTGTCAAACAAGTTCCAGAAGTCGTTACGAACAAAAGTACTGGAGGGAAGCACCGGTTTATGTATCATCTACTTATTGTGCTAGGACACATACCCGGGACCTGGGCGTGTGACTAAGTATATTGTAGGCTGGGTTGATTTTATGATGGAAATTCCTGCAGCTATTTAAATGCCGCTATAGAAAAATATTTAATGACTTGAAAAATATACACATTAGTGAAAGAGCAGTTTGACATGTAGTATCTGTAGTTGCATCTTGTTTTTACTCTACAAAACATCAATAAAATAAATAAATAAATCTATATAAAGAAATGTGTAGACCAAAGCCTAGAAAGATAATCACCAGGCTGACAGGTGGCATGGTGGCTAAGGCACTGGACTCCCACGTGACTGACTGCAGTTCCAGTCCCAGACCTGGCGACTTGCTTTCTCTCTCGCTCTCTATCTCTATCTCCCTCTCTCTGGTCAAAATTTAAAATAATAAAAATCCTAATAATAATAAATAAAATTAAATAAATAATTCTAGACAAAAAAAGATAGTTACCAAAATGTTCTAAGTCCTGCAAGATGTTATTCTTTTCTTTTTACTTTTCTGTTTTCTCAGTTCCCTGTAATGAATGTTTTTACTGCAATGATACAAGTAGTGTTTATGCTTTATGAATTAGGATGAATTAAATTGAAGAAAAAATCCTGTGAGTGTTCAGACTTCCAGTAATCTCCTAAGAGCTGTGATTTTTTAAGAACGCGTGTCTTACTGAGTCAGGGCCCACTGAGGTCCACACACAGTGCAGTGTTTTCCTGGACGCGCCGCCTCACAGGCAGGGCTCTCCCTCTATTTCCGTTCCCTCCCGTGCTCTGTTTGTGGAGGGAATCAGGTCATCAGTTCAGTGGGATTCTCCACGTCTGGGTTTCGCTGACTACCTTCCCAGGGTGTCATTTCACTTGTTCCTCGGTCCTCGGTATTTCCTGTAAGTTGGAATTTGGATCTAGTGGCTTGATCTGATCAGGTGTTCTTTGGGGGGTAGTGAGATCATTCCAGAGGTGATGGCGTGTCTTCCGTTAAGAAACACACAATGCCTGGATGTCTTTCTTATTGTGATGTTAGCAACCATTGATGAATAATGCTACAATCCATTCATTCCCATAGATGTTTTAATGGGGAAAATGTTTTTCTAACAGTCTGGAAGCAGCAGTGTGCTCCCTTCGAACTGCTGTCATCTCAATGTCTGTTGGAGCCCGGAATATCCTCTCCGTCTATCAGTGATATAGAGCAATTGCACAGAAGATCTGGAAACAGACTTGAAGCTCCCAGGAGCCTAAACAAATCTCTGTAATATACAACACTGTTAGCTTGAAGGATGGCTTCTTTTAGAAAGCTTTGCTTCATAAATAGTAGAATGGAAATATTGTTCCAATTTGCTGGCAGCTGGCACCACATCGTGTGCCATGCACAGATATTCATCACCCACCCATAGATCCCATCTTTGATATTTACCAAAGCACCAGGGGGTCTTTCACTCAATCACAACTTCTGTTGTTATTTGTACAATTATCTGGAAAGGAGCAGCAACCTCGAGACCTGGGGAGCTAGTTCATTATTCTGATGATTGTTGTCTTTGCTGGTGCTCAGAAGTTCAGGGGACAGATGGGAGTCGGAAAAGCCAGCTGCCTGCACGATTCCACCCTTGGCAAGCCCAGCAGGCCCTCGCTGGAGCTCTTATTGTCAGAGGGAAGGGACAGAGACTGAGCTTAGGGAAAGGAAAGTCACCATGACACTGGTTATTTTAACTCTGTCCTGCCTGGGTCCCAGGGATCATGTCCAATAGAGTGGTCAAGACAGCCACGGTGGAGAGGAGTCAGGTTGGAGGATGGCTGTGAAGACGAATGCTCTTAGCCTGCCCGTCTGCAGAAACAGATGGCTTGAGAGTCAGGCAGCCCCTGCCCGGCTCCCCGAGTCTGCTGGAGAGTAGGCTGGTGTCAGATGGGGGTTGAGGGAACAAGAGCAGATCACCACCGGAAAGGTTAGAATACCAACCACTGTCCAAAGACCAGATTCACGCTAGGGGTGGACTGGGCGCGGACTGGCACCAGGGGAAACGAGGCAGCCCGTGAGTTGCCAGCTTCCCTCTGCTGTCTTCCTTGTGTCTGTGACTCGCTGCTCTCTAACAGTTGTCCATGCTGAACTCTGGGGCTGTGGGCTGTGGGCTGAGGAGGTGTCGTTCAAATTAAAGCCACGCTGATGACCTTGGCTTGGGGGTGGGGGCGTCTCTCCCGTGTCCAGGTCTACGATGGCAACAACAACTCTGCCCGGCTGCTGGGCGTATTCAGCCGCTCCGAGATGGTGGGGCTGACTCTGAACAGCACATCCAGCAGTCTGTGGCTCGATTTCATCACTGATGCTGAAAACACCAGCAAAGGCTTTGAACTGCAGTTTTCCAGTAAGTCTTTCTTGCATCCGAGCGGACAGCGAAGTCAGGATTTCCCTTTTTCTCCATTTTCTTGTATCTAGTGAGCCTCAGCTTGCCCACTAGATACAAAGAATATGCTCGTATGGACTGTTTAAAACCCAGTGTGTCTCCGTCAGCTGAGCAGGGGGTAAACAGTGTGGTACGTCTACGCAGTGCAGTGTACTCGGCTATAAAAAGAATGAGGTGCTGCCCCACGGATGGGCCCCGCAAGCTTTCCACTCAGGGAAGGGGGCCACTCGCATTGGCCACGTACCGGGTAATCCATTGCTGTGCGCCGTCCCAAATAGGCAAATTCCTAGAGACAGAAAGTAAACCCATAGCTGCCCAGAGCTGAGGAGGTCAGCGGGAAGTGTGTTTGGAGCACCTTCTGAGGGGGAAAAATGCTCTCAGGTTGGTTGTGATAATGGAAGCACAACTCTGGGGGTACCCATGACCTGGGGACCTGGGGGTAGGTGGGCGAATAGAGCTGCTGGGGTGGGGGCGCTCAGCAGGGCTCTGGAGACTGTCCCCGCCTGGGCCTGTGGCTGGCTGGCAGACAGATCTTTGCCCGTAATAGCAGGTGGTTCCGTGGAAGGTTAAGTAGAGCCACCTTTGAATTCTATTTCTATCATATGAAAATAGTGTGAGTCTGGAGCAGTGTGTTTAACCTTCCCAAGTCAGTGCTCTTCGTCGTAAGATGCAGATAATTAACCTACCTGTGAGACTCCCGAGAAGAGCAAATGAAGGAGAGCCCGCGTGAAGTTCCATGTGGTAGAGGCTCCGTGGAGGTCTGTCTCCTCTAGCCTTTTTCAACAGAACTGAGCTTTGGAGCGGGCATTTCACAGAATGTCTTCTTGTCACCCTGTGGCATCAGAACATGGCAGTGAGCGACATGGAAAGCACAGGTCCCCCTACCAAAATGCCCTGGGGTCAGACTGAAGAAACAGGAGATAGACCTAGGCTGGAAGCTAGCAACAGCTGAAATCATTCACACTTGGCAACAGGGGACCGGTCCTTCTGAGGATGCCCTCCAGCGAGCACAGAAACGCAGAGAGAATCCGAGGGGAGGGTCGTCTGAATCCGGGGAAGCGGCCGGGATATTGTCCTGGGGGACGCGGGCTTTGCGGGAGGGAGAAGCATGGATTCTGCCCGGCAGGGCTTGCTCACTCACCTCTTCTCTCTTCACCAGGTTTTGAGCTCATCAAATGTGAAGACCCAGGAACCCCTCAGTTTGGCTACAAGGTTCACGATGGGGGTCACTTTGCAGGGAGCTCTGTGTCCTTCAGCTGTGACCCTGGGTACAGCCTGCGAGGCAGTGAAGAACTGCAGTGCCTGAGTGGCGAGCGCAGGACCTGGGACCGGCCGCTGCCCACCTGTGTCGGTAGGTCCTTGCCCTCCGGAGGACCTCTCAGTCTCCCCGGACCCTGGGCTCCGGCTCTGGTCTCATTCGCATTGCACCCCCTGTTCTAGATCCTGGGGTGTCTCCCTGGACTCGGTCCCCTGTGAACAGGCATCATGGCTGGCCCGCAGCCTCCCCCATTTCCCCACTCCACACGTCATTACACCCATGCAGCCACGCGGCAGGCAGCGGCTCACCAGTGTCACACGTTTAGTAAGTGGGACCAGGGCCAAGTGGGGCCTCAGAATTGGAACGCTGGCGACGGAGACAAGGGGGAGAGGCCACAAGGAGAGAAGAGGCTCCAGGCTTTCCTGTCACACAGAGATGCTAACGATGCCATCGCAGTGTCTCGGTCTCCCCGTAGGGGATGGGCTCATGCTCTCTGGGGCAGTGTTGAAAGAGAGATACTAAACTAGCATCGGCCTAACTCTTCAGAACGAAGGGCCCGCGGGGCGGCCTCACCGACGAGATGCGGTGCTCTGCCGGCTGGGACGGGCGAGGCCGGGGCGGCCCCTGGCCCCACCCAAAGGCCCGACTCAGCAGCATGTGTGTCATCCCAGGGATCGGGGGCTGGGGTAGGAGGCTCGAGTCAGGCTGACCTGGACAACATGAGGAGACCTTGTCTAAAGAGGAGACAGGCGTGGTGACATCCCCATGGCCCCAGCTGGGAGGCTGAGCAGGAGGGCCATGACGTTAGTCAGACCTGTTTGAGAAAGAAAGGGAAGGAATGCAAGAAGCAGCTTGCACCTCTGGAGCCTGTGGTCCTTCCAGAACGTCGGAGAAGCGCAGGCTCTCTGGAGGCTTTATGTGTGTGTCACGGAACAAGAGGGGGTGGCCCAAGGCAGAGTGTGAAAAAGGCAAAACCCGTCTCCGTCCGGCCTTTTCATCGCTCGCCACCCACCTCCTCGCCACTCAGGATCCCCCGTTACCCCCGCATGGCTCCATCCTGCTCCCAGGGCCAGGCCTGGCCCTCCCACCCCGCCCCACGTCTACAGCACACTCTGGAAACACTGACGTCCCTACCAGGCACCCCAGAGGAACCAGAAAGAAAAAATGTAAAAAACTATACCTACCCCCTGCCTCTGGAGAGCCCATGCGCTCCCAAGGAGGACAGAGACAGCCGAGCGCTGGGGTGTGAGATAAGGCGTGAAAAGGCGTGTGCAGGGCGTGAGCGGATTTGAGCGGGCCCACGCAGGAGGTGGCATTTCAGCTGAGACTGGGACGGGTGGGTGAGAATTCACCAACAGGAGGGCCAGCTGGGAGGTGGCAGTGCAGCCTGAGCACGTGCTGAAGGGACGAAGCAGCGCGGCGGGAGCTCTGGGCCACGGTCGGTCCTTCCCCCAGACCACTTCCCTTCCCAGGTCTCCACCGCGGCTGCACAGCAGAGGCCCCAGGCCAGGACGTGACGCCAGACGTGGACTGGGCAGAGTAGTGGCCTTAGGTTGAACCTGGGGCCTTTCGGGTAGGGGGCCCTTCCCCCGGCCTTCCCTAGTGGTCCTGGGTGAAGCCTTAGGTCCGTGGGATGTTTAGGGGCCTTTCGGAGCAATGAGGAAGTGCCGTCCTTCAGACTGACCCTTCTGCAGGCGCGTCCCTCCCCGTTCTCCGCCCACGCTCTCTTTATCCCCCTCTGTCATTCATGTGCCAGGCCCTACACCAGGCACAAGGCACTGGAGAGGAGCAGCCCCAGGCCAGCCAGAGACCCTGCATAAACAGACCGTGGTGTGCACCCGGGCAGGCCAGCCAGAGCCAGCCTGTAAATGAGGGTGTGACCTCCTCGGAGAGATTTGTTTTGCAGAAAGGATTCACTCAGTTCCCTTTGTCAGATGTGCCGGCTGGACTGGACCTGGTGGATCTGCTCAAGCAGTCCCAGCAAGAGTATTTGCGCTCCGAGCTGGGAGGCGGCTCCCAGCGTGACTCCCCAGAGCCCCTGCTACAGGAAGTGGGGCTGCATGTCTGGCACACGCGTGTCCATTTTTGTGCGTGCCTTAATGTACAGACTTCATCGCGGTCCACTAGCAGCAACTGCGACAGCTTGAAACATCCTAATGTTCTCTTCACTGATGAGGAGACCCTGCAGCCCAGGCAGAGCAGCCAAGGATCCAGGATGGGAAGGAGAAAGGCCAGGAAGCAGTTTCAGGGTTGGTCTTGATGGTGAATCCACAACCCACTTGGTCCCTCTCCTGCCCACCTGCCCGACCCCAGATCAAGTGGTCCTGCCTGGAAAGAGCAGGTGTGTTGATGACAGTGTGCCCCAGTCCTGCGGCCTCCGCACACAGCCTGAGGAAGCAGGAGCGTCCTCCATCTGGCTGGGGAAGGAAGCCCCACCCAGGGATTCAGCCTTTCCTCCTTTCCAGGACCTCCCCTGTTTGTGGGGCCCGACAGACTTCCTCCCCTGTGGGCCCCTCAGTCTGATGCCTTTGGGTCAGGTTGGTGCCTCCCAGCCCAGAAGCACCACAGAGAGCTCATGTTGAGGCTGGAGCAAAGGGTTTATCCGGGAAAAAAAAGGCAATCCGCCTTACCCGTAGGGGCCCTTCCCCCAAGCCTCTCCTAGTGGTCCCAGGTGAAGGCTTGGGGTGCATGGCAGGTTTTATGGGTCTTCTATAGCACCGAGGAAGTTCAGTCCCCCCTCTGTGCTTTGATCCGTCCTCTCACTTCTTTTAGCATCTTGCTTAATCAATTATTCCCTTTCCTAATAGCTCTGCAGTAAATCTCCTCCTCTTCATTTTCGCTCATGCTCCCTTTTTCAGACCTTTATAGTAATTTTCCTGGGGAGCAATAAGCTCCGTTTATTCACTTGACAGTCCAGCCGTCCCCCACCCAGTAACTGCCCGTTAAGCATCTGCAGCATGCCGGCGGCAAACTCGGCACCGACCGGCCAGTGCTAGTGAGAAGGAGGTCCCCGCCGCCAGGGCGCGTCTAGTCTTGAGAAGGAGATAGACACGGTTTTAATGAAGCGAATCTACCGTGTCGTAGTGGAGACTCAGAAGAGGACACAGTCACCACTACCTGGGGAGGGGCGGGTTTGTCACATCAGTTCAAGTGGAAGCTTGAGGCTATGTTTCCTGGACTCGTGGAGTTCATAAGACTTGCCTGGACCCAGAGCTTCAGAGAAGGGACCAGAAAGGCCCAGAAGAGCCCCTGCGGGTTCCACCACTCCCCTGCAGAAGGTGGACTCCATTCCAAGAACCAACGCAGTGGCGCCTCTGCAGAGGCCTCGCTGAGGGCAGGAGTGCCAGGCTGCAGGTGACGAGGGCTTGAGCCTAGACCCTAGCAACGGGGGCAGAGAGGGTCCGACGTGAAAGCGTCACAAAGTCTGGGACTGGGTCAAGGCAGACCAGATGCAGAAGAGAAAGGCGGAGAAGCCCAGGTGGAGCCAGCAGTGACTGGGCCGCCTGGCAGAGAGGGTGATCTCTGCCCCCAGGTCACCCTGCACCCCTTCAGATGGTGACCAGGATGACCGCTCTAGCACGCCGAGTTCATTCGTGTGCAGAGTGACTCGTTCTCCCACGTGTTTGGGCACTGCAGTTCTTCCCTGTGATGGAGGGAACACGCAGCCTGGTGCGTGTGTTCAGTCGGGTGCTTGCCCGACCTTCTGCCCTGTCCCCAGCCTGTCCCCGGCCTGCCCTGCTATCTCACACCTCCAGGAATTTGGCACAGACTCTCCTCTATGTAGCAATGTCCTGTTCCTCCTGTCCTCCCCGACCCACCCCTCAGCCCAACCAGCTAGGTCAAGTCTTGTTCCTCCTTTAAGGCCTTCTCGGATTCTCCTTGCCCTGTGCCAGGGGAAATCGGCCACTTCCCCCTCCATGCTGCCCCTTGTCCTGAATTTGCACACAGCACCACACGCCGTGGCTGTCTCCACGGGGCCGGAAAGTCTTCCAGAGAGAGGCGGTCTCTCGCTGACTGTTCTCCCAGCAGCTAGCCCGGGCCCCCTTGCTGCCAGTGAGTGGGTGGGGTACCTGCACGTTCCCCCCAGGAGGCTTTGAGGAATTCCATCACAGAGAAGGGCACCATCCCTATACCCAGGGCCTCTTTATTTTAATTAGCAAGTTTATTACTAGGTAATTTACATACCATACAATTCACCGATTTAAAATGTACAGTTCAGTCATGTCAGTTATGTACAAAGGGTTGTGTACCCATCACCACACAATCTAATTTTTGAACTTTTTTTCTCCCTCACAAAATGGGTACCCATTAGCGGGACCAGCAGTTGGCATAATGGCTATGTCGCTGGACTCGCATGTAGTTGACCGTGGTTCAAGTCCTGGATCTGGTGGCCTAAACTCACACCAGGCGCGTGTGTATGCATGCCCAAGATCCCGAGAGGAGAATGGAGAAGGGATTACGGCGTGGCCATTCCCCTGCGGGTTGATTGGAGAGGCGGTCCCCCGCTGACTGTTCTCCCAGCAGCTAGCCCGGGCCCCCTTGCTGCCAGTGAGTGGGTGGGGTACCCGCACGTTCCCCCCAGGAGGCTTTGAGGAATTCCATCACAGAGAAGGGCACCATCCCTATACCCAGGGCCTCTTTATTTTAATTAGCAAGTTTATTACTAGGTAATTTACATACCATACAATTCACCGATTTAAAATGTACAGTTCAGTCATGTCAGTTATGTACAAAGGGTTGTGTACCCATCACCACACAATCTAATTTTTGAACTTTTTTTCTCCCTCACAAAATGGGTACCCATTAGCGGGACCAGCAGTTGGCATAATGGCTATGTCGCTGGACTCGCATGTAGTTGACCGTGGTTCAAGTCCTGGATCTGGTGGCCTAAACTCACACCAGGCGCGTGTGTATGCATGCCCAAGATCCCGAGAGGAGAATGGAGAAGGGATTACGGCGTGGCCATTCCCCTGCGGGTTGATTGCTTGCTTTTTGTCTCTCTGTCTTTCTGGCAAGTGCATGTGCCCTATAGCAAAAATCTCTCAAAAAAAAAAAAAAAGTGTACCCGTTAGCAGTTGTTCCCCATTACCCCTCCCCCAGGCCCTGGCACCCTCCAACATACTTTCTGTCTGTATATCCGCCTGTTTGGACACGTCTTGTAAACAGAATTACGCAACGAGCGGCCTTCTGCACCCGGCTCCATTCACTCGGCGTGTTTCCGAGACCCGTCTGCATTGCAGCATCTGCCAGCGCTTTGTTCCTTTTTACGGCTGAGCGATACTCCACTGTGTAGAGACGTAGTGCATTTCGTTTTTCCACTCTTTAGTGGGGCGTTCGGGTCACTCCCACTTGTTGGCTGCTATGGGTAATTTTGCTGTGAACATTCGAATTTTGTGTGGACATATATTTTCATTTCTTTGGGGGCTGCACCTAAGAGTGGAATTGCTGGGTCATATGGTAACTGTGTTTAACACTTCGAGGAACTGACCGTTGCTTTCCAAAGCTGCTGCATCGTTTCCTATTCCCACCAGTAAGGTGCAAAGCTTCTAGTTTCTCCACTCCTTGTCTTTGCTTGCTACCATCTGCCCGTTTATTACCACAGTCCTAGTGGGTGTGAAGGGGTAGCTCACTGTGCTTTTGATTTGCATTTCCCTAATGAATACTGCTGTGAACATCTTCTCACGTGTGCACTGGCCGTTCAGGTACCTTCTCTGGAGAAATGCCTGTTCAAATCCCTTGCCCATCTTTAATCGGGCTGTCTCTTTACTGTCGAGTTGTAGGTGGTCTTCTGGTTTTGGAAACAGGTCTCATCCAGGGCACCTTTTCCAAGCTGTGCTCAGTCACTGGGATGAACGAGAGGGACCCGGGGCATACGGACAAGAGGACCCCCCGTGCTGGCAGGTTGGCCCCCCCGTGAAGTTTACTCTGTTGGGATTTTTTTTTTCAGCTGAGTGTGGAGGGACAGTGAAAGGAGAGGTGTCGGGGCAGGTGCTGTCACCCGGGTATCCTGCTCCCTACGAACACAATCTCAACTGCATCTGGACCATCGAAGCAGATGCCGGCTGCACCATCGGGTAAGTGTCAGGCTGGCACAGCAAGCCCTGCTGTTGCTCAGGGAAGCCATCACCCCCATCACCACCAGGCTGCCCAGCTAGTGCCTGGTTCCACCTGTCTCACCTTCATGCTCAACCATGATTGTCATTACCCCCTGCAGGGAAGGGCCAGTGTCCACCTCACAGGGGTCCATCCCAAGACCAGACAGCTCACTGGTCTGGATGGCACAGCCCTCGCAGGACGGCTGAGGGCACAGGCTGGAGGTCATGCAGACTGGGCTGGGCTCCCAGCTTTTCTGGTTACTGCTCTCAGAACATTGGGCAAGTCCTGCTGCCTCCTCCTTAGGGCAGGGAGCTCAGGTGAAGCCCTTGAGTGAGCTATTCCGTGCACGTGCTCAGCGTCGTACTCCCAGCAGGGCGAAGGTGTAAGAGTGGTTGCAGGGGTCATCTCCCTGATGGTGGGGGTCAGCCAGAGCTGAGTGATCCCAGCAGATTGCTCCCCTTCCCTAGTCGGAGTTTCTTCATCTGTAACATGAGGACACAAATGCTCGCGTTTCAGGATTGCGAAGGGAGAATACAAACCAGTGTGTCTGGAACTTGGTGCCTACTCCCTCAAAGCAGAGCTTCCTTCCCTTATGAGCGCCTGGAGTTCCAAGGAGTCAGAGGAGAAAGGAGCGTGCCCGGTTGTGGAGCACAGGATCTGTCTCAGTAACTCTTCACAATAGCTCTATTGACGACAACAATAATAAGAAGTCCTAATAATAAATAGGCAGTGCTATTATTCCCATCTCACAGATGAGAAAACTGAGAGCCCAAGAGAATGCACAGCACATCTAAGTTTGGATGGAGAATCGGAAAGCTGGGATAGGAAGCCAGGTCTTTCTGAGTCTAATCAATGCATCACAGTGCTGCAGCACTGGGCCCTGAGCTCTGAGGAGAAGAGCAGGTTGGAGCAGCAGCGTGGGCGGAGGTGCGAGAGGACGGTCAATCAAGGGAACAAGGGGGAAAACAGCCTGGCTAGAGGAGGTCCTGTGGGTCAGGATCAGGGGGTGGAGTTACAGTGTGCTTGGGGAAGATCGGACATGCCAGGAAAGGAGGCACGGAAGAGCCTAGAGCAGGTCTGGCCTGGCAGGGCTCTTGGCAGTGCAGAGAGAGCTCCTGGGAAGACAGCCGTCAGGAGCCTGGTGCAGTGACCCAGGAGGGAAGCGCCGAGGATCTGAAGTAGTGGGGAGCCAGGAGAAGGGCAGAGCAGAGCTGGGAGGTCCCTGCCCGCAAGCATTTTAATTAAGGCGAACTGGCTGAATGGACGTGTTGCCGCTGGAGAAGCTTCGGTATGTCGGCCGATGCGTGTGCACCGTCCCTGCCGTCAGTCCCCGGAAGTGAAAGTCCTGCAGTGGGATGTACTGCATGCAAGTGTTCGAGCTACACCCTGTGTAAAATGATGTGGGCAGCGCCCTCAGGGGGGGTAGGGAGACGGGTTAAACGTGAAATCCATCCTGCACGCCTTTGCTGGGATGACTCCGGAAGAACACCTAACCGAGTCGCCCTCTGATTAGAAACCTCCCAGGGCAGCCTGTGTGCTCAGAATAAAAGCTGAGCATCTTCTGGTGTTCAGCCACCATGACCTCAGCCTGCCCCATCCTCCTATTCCACCTCCTGTTTCTCTTCAGTGACATTTCCGCAAAGCTGGCTTGCTGGCGAGGGCTCACGGCCTAGCTCAGTCCCTTTGTTTCCACTCTGCCCTCCTGGAATCCCCCCCTCTCCCCAAAGGCTTTTGTTTCCAATCCCCTGTCCCGTGAAGTCAAGTGCAAATGTCAGCTCATGTAGGAAGGCTCCCCCACCCCCTTTGAGGAGTCTCGTCTCCCTCCTGGGAACTCTGGGACCTGCTGCCTCTATTTCCCTTGTGACACTGAACACCTCTCTAACTTACGCTGCGTCCTCCCCTCCCCTCCTGGAGCTGTGGTCTCCGTCTCATTCATCTTTACAAATCTCCCGGCTCTCAGCATGGCGCGCCATAAGCGTCAAGCGTTTGTTGAATGAATGAATGAGTGAACGAAGCAAGACTCAGGCTTAAAGGCGATTATATGACTCGCAGGTCTGTGTTGTCCCTCGGTGAATACGGAATGAACAAGGGAGTTGAGAGCACAATGACTGTTCCACTTAGTGTGCGCATGTGCACATCAGGAGAGCCCCCCCGACTCTTCAAACTTGAAGCCTCATTCGCTCACCTTCTCGGGTGACAGCTGCCTGTTTGCTTGCTCTGTGGCAGGGCCTGTGTGAGGTGCTGGCGTGACATTACTGAGTGAGATGGTCACTGTCACAAAGAGATGCGTGTGTATGCACCACAGAGCTGGACGGGCGTTTGGAGGCGGGGTGGAGGATGGCAGGGCTGGAGGAGGTCGGAGAAGCTACCCTGGAAAGTAGCACAGAGCCAGTCCCGAAGGATGGGGAGGAGGTTCCAGGTAGCCAAAGAGGAAGGTTAGCAGGAGAGAAGGGACCTTCTAGGGAGACGGAGTGACGCATTGCTTAAGGTCAGCCCCAAGGAGCTGGATATGGTTCCACCAGGTGACCACCTGGAATTTGTTAGATGACAGTGTCCCTGGGAGGTGACGTCAGAAGAGTAGGCTGAGGCCAGAGCACGGAGGACCCGGGGGCAGGGATGCTGGGTTTCAACATCCCCTGCCACTTCACAGAGGGTGGGTGTGATGGGATGGACTGGAGCCGTCTCCAGAGTGTGTTGGAGTGAGGCATTAGCAGTGCAGCTGGAGCAGGAGGGACCCACTCTGGGGGCTGACCACACCCCTTCAGTAGTGTGGAGCAGCTGGAGCAGGAGGGACCCGTTCTGGGGGCTGACCGCACCCCTTCAGTAGTGTGGAGCAGCTGGAGCAGGAGGGACCCGTTCTGGGGGCTGACCGCACCCCTTCAGTAGTGTGGAGCAGCTGGAGCAGGAGGGACCCGTTCTGGGGGCTGACCGCACCCCTTCAGTAGTGTGGAGCAGCTGGAGCAGGAGGGACCCGTTCTGGGGGCTGACCGCACCCCTTCAGTAGTGTGGAGCAGCTGGAGCAGGAGGGACCCGTTCTGGGGGCTGACCGCACCCCTTCAGTAGTGTGGAGCAGCTGGAGCAGGAGGGACCCGTTCTGGGGGCTGACCGCACCCCTTCAGTAGTGTGGAGCAGCTGGAGCAGGAGGGACCCGTTCTGGGGGCTGACCGCACCCCTTCAGTAGTGTGGAGCAGCTGGAGCAGGAGGGACCCGTTCTGGGGGCTGACCGCACCCCTTCAGTAGTGTGGAGCAGCTGGAGCAGGAGGGACCCGTTCTGGGGGCTGACCGCACCCCTTCAGTAGTGTGGAGCAGCTGGAGCAGGAGGGACCCGTTCTGGGGGCTGACCGCACCCCTTCAGTAGTGTGGAGCAGCTGGAGCAGGAGGGACCCGTTCTGGGGGCTGACCGCACCCCTTCAGTAGTGTGGAGCAGCTGGAGCAGGAGGGACCCGTTCTGGGGGCTGACCGCACCCCTTCAGTAGTGTGGAGCAGCTGGAGCAGGAGGGACCCGTTCTGGGGGCTGACCGCACCCCTTCAGTAGTGTGGAGCAGCTGGAGCAGGAGGGACCCGTTCTGGGGGCTGACCGCACCCCTTCAGTAGTGTGGAGCAGCTGGAGCAGGAGGGACCCGTTCTGGGGGCTGACCGCACCCCTTCAGTAGTGTGGAGCAGCTGGAGCAGGAGGGACCCGTTCTGGGGGCTGACCGCACCCCTTCAGTAGTGTGGAGCAGCTGGAGCAGGAGGGACCCGTTCTGGGGGCTGACCGCACCCCTTCAGTAGTGTGGAGCAGCTGGAGCAGGAGGGACCCGTTCTGGGGGCTGACCGCACCCCTTCAGTAGTGTGGAGCAGCTGGAGCAGGAGGGACCCGTTCTGGGGGCTGACCGCACCCCTTCAGTAGTGTGGAGCAGCTGGAGCAGGAGGGACCCGTTCTGGGGGCTGACCGCACCCCTTCAGTAGTGTGGAGCAGCTGGAGCAGGAGGGACCCGTTCTGGGGGCTGACCGCACCCCTTCAGTAGTGTGGAGCAGCTGGAGCAGGAGGGACCCGTTCTGGGGGCTGACCGCACCCCTTCAGTAGTGTGGAGCAGCTGGAGCAGGAGGGACCCGTTCTGGGGGCTGACCGCACCCCTTCAGTAGTGTGGAGCAGCTGGAGCAGGAGGGACCCGTTCTGGGGGCTGACCGCACCCCTTCAGTAGTGTGGAGCAGCTGGAGCAGGAGGGACCCGTTCTGGGGGCTGACCGCACCCCTTCAGTAGTGTGGAGCAGCTGGAGCAGGAGGGACCCGTTCTGGGGGCTGACCGCACCCCTTCAGTAGTGTGGAGCAGCTGGAGCAGGAGGGACCCGTTCTGGGGGCTGACCGCACCCCTTCAGTAGTGTGGAGCAGCTGGAGCAGGAGGGACCCGTTCTGGGGGCTGACCGCACCCCTTCAGTAGTGTGGAGCAGCTGGAGCAGGAGGGACCCGTTCTGGGGGCTGACCGCACCCCTTCAGTAGTGTGGAGCAGCTGGAGCAGGAGGGACCCGTTCTGGGGGCTGACCGCACCCCTTCAGTAGTGTGGAGCAGCTGGAGCAGGAGGGACCCGTTCTGGGGGCTGACCGCACCCCTTCAGCACGTGTGCAGGTTGAGGTTCCTTGTCTTCCCCTGTGGACTGTGGAACATGCAATACATGAACACCTGGAAACGCAAAGAGCAGAGCGCCAAGGTGCACATGTCCCCTGGACGCCATCATGTGTGTTAGCGTGTTCTCATCGCGATTTCTGCCGGTTTTCTTCTTTTTGCACTCCTTTGTTCCCTCTGGTTGCTGAGGTGCTCAGAAGTACACTATAGACGCCATGGTATCTCATTGCTATACTTCGGCAAGTCGAGTCTAAAGAGGAGGGTGACTGCCACATCAGGGCAGCCCCGGCTCAGCTCGGTGGCGCTGCATCTGCTCCCAGGAACCAGGCTTCAGGACAAGAGCTGGAAGAGGGCAGGGCAGGGCAGGAGCAGCTGA